ATTAAGGAAGAAGAAAGGAAGGATGGAAGGAAGCAGGGAAAAGAGGTCAATAGAAACGCAGGTGAATAAATATGACTAAACTGATAGGTATCCAAATCGGACGGGTAGGAAAGTGCATGAGAACGCAGGCCCGTTCGTGGGTAAATACACAAGTAGTTGATAGGCAGGCAGGTGAGTAAGTTAATACATGAAAATATAAAAGAACAGATAAATTGACAAGTGCATAGAAGTGGGTTCTAGATCTAAGTTGCTGGATTGGGAAGCCGATATTGGTAGGTGGTTCTGTGGACCAGGTAAGTTGGAGGACAGGCGGGTAGGTGGGTGGGCAGGTGGCCGGAGAGATGAATAGAGACTAGGTAAGGACGCAGGTAAGCTGCTTAAGGTAACAGAGAACAGAAACCGTCCCCGGTTGGGTCAGGCGCTAGGCTTAGAGCCAAGCAGGGTATGGAACAGACCAAAGGTCAGCCTGGGAAAACCCATGGGGAAGTGTCAGCTTCCCGACTCCTGGGGATAAAGGTGAAGCGCGTCTACGTGGCTGTGGAGCCGCCCCCCCACGAAAGGAGAGCAGCGGTTCTTGCCAACACGTCTCCTCCCAGGGGGCACAGGAAGCCCCCCCAGATCAGAGCAGAAGCGGGTCTGGAAAGCAAAGGAAAGAGGAGGGCGGGAGGGCACTGCGCCCCTCCTCTCTGAGGTCTGGGTGCTGGTGGCTGTCGCATGCTGAGGGCCAAATGGGGAAGGAAGCTGGAGAGAAATCTGGCAGCCTGAGGCATGTCCCTCCCTTTCCAATAAATCACACAATATCCTAGAGGGAGACTTGGTTCCTCGGTTCCTAGAACAGAGTCCTGGTGCACAAAAATAGCGCCTTGTGAAAACAGAGAACTCCAAGCAAAAGAACGCCAAAGGAAATAATCAAAGATAAAACCGGGGGCTGGGACTTTCCTCCAGCCTCGAGACGCTTGCCCAAAGGCACTGCTGTGCCCACACTCCGCTCACAAACCCCGGGGTGGCTGTCACCCTGATGCACCCCTCGGGGCTGTCGCTCCCCAAACACCACTGAGGCTGCTGAGTCGGAGTCTGCTCTCTTCTTGCGGGAAATGCATGTGCCCCAGGTTCGCCGAGGTCCCTGAACCCTTAGGGCACCACCCTGGGTACTGTTATCGCCTCCGTTTTACAAGTGCTGGAAACTGAGGCCCAGCGGGGTTCCAGAAAGTGCTCACAGCCCTAGCCCCTTGGAATTAGAGAGCCATGACCAGTCTGAGGGAGGAGACCATGCGATTAGCCATGTGCCAGCCCAACGGTGGGGGCACAGTGATGCATTTCTCAGATATACACAGCCCGCAAGCACTCAGCGTGGGATAGGTGTCCAGATGTTCTGTGCCCCCCCCCCCCCCAGTGAGACTAAACACAACTGTTTTCTCTGCACCTCAAACCCCTGGGTTATTCTTCCCTGTGCCAACCTCCCCGCTGCCTCCCCACTAGACTTAGCTGTCTAATGCCAAGCACTGCCTTGGATAGTCTCCAGCTACCGTCTCATTTAACCCTCACTATAGTCCTGGGAGCTTTATATCCTCACTCCCATTTTCAAGATGAAGAAACCGAGGGTCAGAGTGATCCAGTCATGGTCACGTGGTTTGTAAGGGACAGAGCGTGGCCACAGACCCGGAGCTACCCAGTGTCTGGCCTGGTCTTTCTCCATCACTGCTGTCCTCACTCTCCCTTCTCTGTCCTTGGATTGCCTTCCACGTGTCATCACCCACTGTCACCAGAGAATGCCTGAGCGTTTGCTTGGACTCCCCGGGGAAGCTGCTTTGTTCCGTCGGGACAAGGACCTTGGCACCCAGGCCTCCTCCCGAGCTTGCCTGGGGTTGGATGCACCTGTGCAGCTTCGTGTCACACAGAGTCAACCCCCCACGGTAGCGTCCCCAGAGGTAGGCTTTCTGCACGATTGCAATCGCTGAAGATGTCTTTTGAATCATGCGCCTGATTTCCGTCTGCAGTGGGCCAACCTGTCTGGGGTAGATTTACGGTACCCCTTGGGTTGTTTTGAAGAGGCAACCAAGCAGAAAATACAGGGGTAGGTCTGGACTTGTGAGATCCAACAGTCCCCTCCCCGGGCCATGACCTGAGCAAATCTCTTAACCTCTCTGTGCCTCAGTTAACCCATCTGTGAAGTGAGAATAACGATACTATGTGAACCATCCGCCCTTCGGCCGCCCATCTACCTGCTCCCTCTTCCACTCACCCATCCAACCATCCCTCCACGCATCCATTCACCCACCCAACAGTCAACAAATATACATTGCACACCTGCCCAGTGCCAGACATTTGGGACGCGATGGGATCAAACTACAGATCCCTGTCCACGTGGAGCTAATCTTCCAGCGGGAAGGTCAGAAAAGAAACAACAAACATAATACAAAAGTAAAATATAGGGAGGGCGAAAATGCCAGTCTACGGAGGGGGCTGAGAGTGTGGATGGGGACCTGAGATTCTAAATGGGATGCTCAGGGTAGGCCTCACTGAGAAGGTGAAATCTGGGTAAAGAGCAGAGGAGGCGGACCAAGAGGCTTTCTGGAGAAGAGGGTTCCAGGTAGTGGGACCAGCACGTGCTAAGGTCCTGTGGTCGAGAGCATGCCAGTCTCGTCCCAGGGACACTGAGGGTGCCAGCATGACTGGAGGACAGAGCACAGGTACGGGATGAGAGCAGAGCAGCGACGAGAACCAGACGGTGACGGGCTTTGCGGGCCACGGTCCAGATTTAGATTTTCCTCTGAATGACGGGGCGCCAGTGCAGGGTTTAGAGCAGTGGAGGGTGAAGATCGTTAAGGGTTGTGGAGAGAGTGACAAAACCTTCACACGATGGTTTCCTTTTCTGAACCCCCCACTGAAACCAAAGTCAGGGCCTTTCTTTACAAAGCACACGGTTTTCTTCCCTCTTCTCCTTCTTCCCCCTGGAAGGCTGGCTCCCTCCCGGCTTGCACCACACCTGCGCATCTGCCCCGCAGTCCTGCGCGCCCCTGGGAGCCCTGGAGGGGAGCTGTCCTGGAGGACACAAGGAAAGAGCAGCGGAAGGAGGCCCCTCCTCTGTCTCCCAGCCCCCTAAAGAACACGTCACCCCGAGCCTAGTTCCCTTTCTAGAATCACATGGGATCAGAAATAAAAATATTACATCCCCGGGGAGGAAACAGAGTTAAATAACAGGAACCAGCAGACAGAGGAGGGAGGGGCAGTCCCCACCTAAAGCAGCACGCAGTTTACAGGTAGAGGGGATGGCCTTGAGCCCCCC